ACACTAAATACATACATACATACATACATACATACATACATACATACATACATACATACATACATACATACTATGTGTATATATATATTTAGTGTCACAACCCCTGGTATGCCCAAATATGGGAGGAGGCATACTGCTTCCTTTCTCTGTCTATCGGCTCATCACAAGAGACCATCCAGACAGAAAGCCAATATTTTTACTGTTGCCTTTGTTACATTTGTGCTGATAAATAATATATATATATATATATGTAAATTATACATTTATATTGATACATTTTATAAAATTATATATGTGTGTGTGTTTATAACATTTATAAAATGTTATAAATTGTATAAATATAAATGTGTAATTTACATACACACATACACACAGACACATATATACACATACAAACAATATATTTTATAATATCTTTATTATAATTAAAATATAAAAAATAAAGTCAAAAGATAGGGCAAGAGATTGGGCAATATTAGCAGGGAAAATGAAGGCATCCTTCACTCCCATAATGAACTGGATGTGTAGCTGAGCTTCACTGAATGTCTCATTAGAGTAAAGCACTTTTGCAGTGCTCTGTTTGCATAGCTTGTTCACAATTGGCATCACTCCCTCTTTCCTGGAGAGGCCCAGATCGTCTTCTGCCAGGGTCCCCCAGAATGATGAAGCTGCTCTCCAGCGTTATTTAAATATCTTTTCTCAACTAATCGATTGACAGTTGTATTTAAAAGACTCAGCTAATGAAATTCTGTGCTCTCAGATATGTTCATATATATTTTTAAATTATACGATCGTTTCCACTTGTGCTAATTATGGATAGCTATGTACCGCAAAGCGTATTAGATGACTGGAAATCCTTGTGCAGTTTATGAGGTTCTATTAGGTGATTGCTCTACAATCCCCACATAAAAAGAAGCGATCTACCTCCATTTCCTGAATATTAGTGCAATAATAGCATACTGTATGTAGATCCCTGACTGATCTGTAGTGGGATTAGAGACCTCACTTTGATCTAGGAATTCCATATAGCATTCAGGACATCTGCAGCTACTTAACAATGACCCAGTGCCCTAGTATTTTCCAGACACTGAAGTGGGTTTGGTAATGCCTTGTAAAGGCTTTGACTTGGATCCCTTCCAAAGAAGCCAGTATGATCCTTCAAGGCAGACTGCATAGAAGGAAAATTAAGTCCAAACAGGTTTATTATTTCTAGGTCACACATCCACCTGTGCCAAAGTGCTGCTGACAAGAGACTGGAGTAAGGAGACACAGTTGAGTTCTGGAACCAAGAGGGAAGCGGAGAGCAGTAGAACAATAGCACAGCGGAATACATTGAAAACTCATAGCAGGGATGGGTCAGCAGATGAAATAGGTGTCTCATTCATGCAAAGGAAATCTATACTGCCCTTTTTTTCTGATTTTAGGGTAGCCTTCGCTGCACGTATTTTAAAAGCTTACAGAATGAGAATTAATGCAAGAATATGTTTTGTTTGAATGAAGTCAATGCGGCCTGACTGTTAATAAAGCAGAGAAATAAGTTTGATCGCACCCTCTGCAAGATTGTTTGAAGAAACCTCTGTGGATTATTCCGCGTTTCTTTCCACCTGAAACACAGAGGGGGGATTATTTTTTATTTTTTTTCCATTTAGACAAAATCAGTGCCAGCAATCCACGTGTGATTGAAGATTCCCGAGCCCGGGCTTTATGTACAGAAATGCGGCGTTGCCTCTACTATGAAACCTGTGCCACTTATGGACTGAATGTTGATCGGGTCTTCAGTGAAGGTGAATATCTGCCTAGAATGTATCCTGAGTAGGTAGAAGAGAGGGAGGCCAGGTTGTATGTCATGCATGAAATGTATGTGTGCATGAAAACAAACATTCTTCCCAACATATAAACTCTGCAAGTAGTATGGCAGGGGGAATGTATTTTTGATATTTTACTTTATATATGATAGGTTCCTATTGTCTGCTGCAGAAGTGATAAATCATATTAGCAAGGCACACACACTCAATAGTACCGTGTTTCTCTGAAAATAAGACCAGGTTTTATTTTCTTCTGACCCTCGAAATAAGCACTTGGCCTTATTTTTGAGGAGGTCTTATTATTTTCGAGGTGCAGGAGGCAGCGAGCATGGTCATAAGAGCCAAGGTGGCGCAGTGGTTAAATGCAGCACTGCAGGCTACTGCTAGATCAGCAGGTCAGCGGTTCAAATCTCACCGGCACAGG